TTTGATTTTTGGTTGGTTTTTTTTTTTTTGGAAATGCACTCTAAGAGAATCTGAAGGCATCATAAATTCAAACTCTCGCTCAATGAGGTATTTATATAGAAGATGGATTCTAGTGCTGTGCAGGGAAAATTGACAGGGTTTGGTTATAAAAAGATGAAGCAGGAAGGAGCGGAACAAAGGAAGAAGAGACCAAACATACACAGACCTCAGTGACAAATGATGGATTTTTTTATTTTCATTTACTGGTCTTAAAATTGCCATCTAATGTGCAGGGGAGCTTGTGGCTTTTCCCCAGTAGGGAGCTGGGGTGATAAGCTGTGGCATAAGTGGTATTTGAGGCAAGGCTTCCAAAGCAGGACTTTTTCTCTGGGGGCCAAGAAGCTGTGTGTGGTGCATGGGGCAAGTTATGTGCCTGAGGACAGAGAGCTGGATGCTGCCTGGCTGGGGAGGACCAAAGGTGCAGCTTTGTGCCTGGTTCAAGGTCTTCCAAGGCAGTGACCCTCTGGTCTCCTTGAGCTGAAACTGATGCAGAGAGCAGTTGGAGCAGGGCTGTGATCTGTCTTCAAACTGTTTGGGGAAGGATCTGATTTCTTTCAGCAGTGGTCATTGGAAACTTCACAGTGTGGAACAGTATATGTGTCCAGGTCCCCTCTCTTGAGCTCTTTGTGTCAGGCTCCAGGCAAGCATTGGACAAGAGCATCTCCATCCTGTCTCTTTGCTCTTTTAAGGACAGAAGGGTCTGCCTTGCGGTTTTCCGTGCAATCAGGGTGAATATAGAACTAACCAAATCCTTGATAGGCATATTATTATGACCTTTTTGCAGTGGGTATTTGATGGGCTTAGACGCTACAGACAGCACTATGGCCTCTGGAGGACAAGTGCTCTGGAGGTAGGAGCCCTTAATTGAGACAGATTGTGTTTGTAGTAATAATCATGGAACAGACTTTACATTTGCAACTTCTGTAACTTAACCTCAGTGCAAATACTGACTCACTGCATGAGTCCTGTCCAGGGTTTCACCCTTTGTAAAGAAGCTACTGGATGGTTACTTTTTGGGTGCTTTTGCCAGATGTCTTCCCAAGTATCTTATGTTTCAAATAGTCCTCCATCTTGGTGTGAAGCACAGTGACTCACAGCATCGGTGGTGACTCACTGATATCAATTAAACATTAGGATCCTGAAGGTGTGACTCCTTAAGCTTTGACAAAAAAAAATGCTGTAACAACAGGAAAAAAACATTTGCAATATATTGCACATGTACCTAGGTGGCAAATTCTCTACATTGCTGTACTGCTATGGAATAAAAAAGCTTGTTTTTTAAATGTTCCCTTTCCACCAGCATATTTGATGTACACTTATTTTTGTTTCATCATAACAATACAGCCCTATTGGTTTAGCAAGTCACTTTATCAGATCTCCTGCATTAGGAGGATGGATGGAGGACAGAAAGATGGACAAAACCTGGGGGCACCAAGAGAAATCCTAGGGAGCACTGTAAATTTGGCAGCACCCTTCCTTCAGGCTGGGTGCTATTAACTCCCAAGTGGGACACCAGGGCATTCAGCAAGAGCAGTTATGGGATTTAATGGTCTCAGCAGATTAATCTACCTTTTGTAAGAGGTGGCAGAGGATTACTGTCTAGTCTCCAGCCAAAACAATCTTCCAGTGCAGATTTACTTGGAGTGCCACTTGAACTGTCATCAGCGCTGCCCAGCCCAGCGGTTTATTCTGCAGAGACATGGAAACCTGTCACTGCTTGCTCCTGGGAGCAAATGTGGGTGTCATGTTTGCGAGATGAAACCACCGGTGCTTACAGCAGGACCTGCCACAGCTCTGGGCAGAGCCGTGCCGCGTGGGCACGTGTCGAATATGCTCTGCTCTGCCCAGCCCAGGCTTGTGTAAGGGGAGAGGCAGGGCAGGGATGATGCTCTGTAGTGGTTCCTGCTTTATTTCTGGCTCTTCAAAGCTGAGGCTGCAGTCCTCTGTGTTTGGCTTTTCCACGGGGAAGGGAAAGGGGAATGCAGGTCTCTGGCAAAATTCCTGCACTTTCAGCATGACGAAGCTTTGCTGGTTTGCTCTGCTGCTGCGTTAAGATGGGTGGGCATGATACGCTGGCTATTAAAAACGTATGTTGTCCTATTAATGTCGTCTTTACCTGCTTTTGACTGCAGCATCCATTTTTCTTTTGTGCCCTCTCCTTGTTCTTCTGTGTCTCAGAGTCAAACGCCCTGGTGGCACCCACTGCTGTCCTGCCAAATTTGTTTTGGATAGTTGCTTCACGGCGGCCTCTCTCTGGTTTGTGATAGCTGCCAGAGGAGAAACCGTGATATCCTTGAGCTCTTAGTACTGAGTGAGTAATTTGGGGTCGCGGCAGATGCTTTAGCACAAGCTTTCAAAGAAACTGTTGAAATATTTCACCATTTCCCTATTTACAAATTCTGAGGGGTGAGGAGAGGAAGAGGTTTGGGGAAGTTCAGGGGCTGCTCATGCCCATCAGCGCTCACCTTAGCCTGCCCTTGTGGGCTTGGGGCATCAGCTCTGATTTATACTGGCCTGCAGAGTGCTTAACCGAGTGCAGGAAAGGGCCAGAGGCAGGGCTTTGCAGGGAAATACATGTTTTTTGTTTTCAGAGCAGCTGGGGAGTTGGGCAATAGCCTTAAAAACAAACAAACAAATGATGACTGGCAGATAAGTTATCGAAAGGAGTGGGTGCATTTTAGACACCAGTGAAGGACATGCTGATAGATGGACTTTTCTTCTGCTTTTAAACTCTTACTCTATGTGCCAGTGTGCCAAAGCGGTTTGACATCTGTTGTCCTGGCCTGAAATTTCACAACAGCCCTTCATGAGATTTTGGCTGTTCCAACCATGAACCTTTACCTCGGTGTAATCTGGTACTGCACATTCTCTGCCTGGGGCTTGTGCAAGGGACAGCTATCTTTGACTAGCAATAGCAAGCTGTGAAAATGAAAAAACACCAGGATATCTGCTTTGTCTTCTTGCACTTGGATGACATTGCCATTCCTCTGACAGTAATAAAATTGAAAATTAACAACTTGCGGAGATTGCCTTTAAAAAAGTGTTCTTGTATAAATATGACTATTTTTAATAAACTTAACCTTTTATCTACAAACAAAAATGATTTCCCAGTTTTAAGGAGCATATATACCTTCTGCATTGTGAAAATAAACCCCGAGCGTTTGAAATCCTGCCTGGAGCCAAGATGTATCTCCTGAATTTTGTTTTGTTTGTGTCTTCTCTGGGCAGATATTTTTCTTTGCTAACTGGAGATTGGTTCCATAATTGCAAATATTAGGAATTGCATTTCTTCTACTTGCTAAATACTTCTAAAAAGTCAACGTCTTTGGAGAGCAATTCTCACTGCCTTGCTGGGCTGTTTGCTGCAAATAATTAATAGCTGTTTAGTGGAAGAAATGCTTGCTCATACTACTTGCTTTTGTTTCCTTAGTGCCTTTAGTCTGTAAGTTGAGGATCAGACATATATGTCCCAACTTCTACAAGGCAGTGTGAGTGAGGAACTCAAAAATACATTTAACTAAAACAAAAAGCCCAAACCTGAAAGCCGGCACATTTCTCTTGGCCATAAAAGTGCTATACTTCTTGGTGAGATGGTGTATTGTAGGGAGGACATCTCCTGTGATGTTGAACCAGAGGGCTGAGTCAGAGCTAGTTTTATTTATGGAAGGGCTGCATGTCATGGAAATGCTTAAAAGTGCAAGTGCACCTACTTGAACACTTTTGAGGGAAAGCTTTCTTTTGAAGTTACTTCTGAATTTTAAAAATAAATTGTGTACTTTTACTTGGCTTTTTTGGCCATGAAACTTCAGTTACTGGTGTTGGGAGGGCTGCTACTATTGCATTACACACAAACCAGCCATTTATTCTGCAAAGTTTCAGTTCTGGAGTATCTGACTCTCCAAAGTTAGCTGTACTTATTTTTCATGAAATGTGCATGGCTCCCATTACCATCAATATTTGAACACTTCACAAACCACGAACAAACATATCTTCCTACATTTATTCAAGGGTATAATAGTACTATCCACACTTTACACATAAGAGAGATTAAGTTACATGTCTGAGGGCAATGACGATGTTGGGCTGAAGCCAGGAATGCAGCCGGGCTCTCCTGGGGCTCAGTCTAATGCCTCAGAGGAAAACGTCTTAAGTTTAGGGAAGCCTTCCTAGAAACCTTGCTGTTCCCATCTTTCTCATGGGAATAAGACAGTGCCCTAATGACTCACTGCTTGAGATGGTCTGTTTTCTCTTCCTTTGGATGGAAAGAGTCATTTCCATATCAGGGACAGCTTTAGTGTGGAGATTCAGCCCAGCCTGATCTCTGAGCTGTGAAACATCACTGTGGGAGCTGTTGTCCCAAGGAGTCTCATGATTGTACCAGGATCTCTGGCTGCCCTGTCCAACTCCATGCCAGGGCTTGTCCTGATCAGTTGTGCCATTAATTAGTCTTCATCCCCTTCCAACACTTGGGGAATCAGGATGCTTTTCTGAAAGTGAGTGTCCTGATGTTTTGTCTGTGGGAGCCTGGACCATCAGGGATCTGTGGCAAAGTAGTTGTTTTTCCCTGTGTTTCTGAGTGGTCTTGAGCAAGTCAACAGGAGAACTTGCTCTAAATTTGTTGTGCTCACCACCAGTGGGCTTCCCAGGGCCCTGGTAGTAGATGTCTGGGGCTGCTCTGGTGAGACATTGAGCTACATCAGTAATGCCAATGCCTGAGCTCATGTGACCTGGAGTGTTGGATAGTGTAATTCTATAATTAAGGGCCTGATAAAACTCACTGAAGTAAATAAGTCTTTAGTTTGCTGCTGGGGATCTGGGTTTTGACTTGAGGGGGGAAGCTTTCCTCTGCTACTTCCATGCACTCACACTAGGACTGCAATTTGGAAGATTAGTATGTTTAAATACATCTGAGAATAACTAATTTATTTCAGTTGGCTTGTCTTTTTTTTTTTTTCTTCCAGTGGGATCTTGTTTGTGATTCTGCCTGGAAAGTCCACATTGCTAAATTTTCCCTACTGGTAGGATTAATCTTCGGCCACTTAATAACAGGATGTATAGCTGACTGGTAAGTGAAAAATCTTTTAATGCAATGTAACTATGAATAAATAATAATAAAATATTAATTATTGTTTCTATTTTCTTTTACTTTATATTAATGAAGAGCCTTTGCATAATGATTCTTCAGACTCTGAAAGAAGTATGATGAATAAACAGTTTAAAACTGTGTGTTAATTGCTTGAACTGAGTAATTTATATCAAGGTAAATAATGTGAAAATAAGCTATCTGGTGGTTGGCTTAGTTTCCTGATGACACAATTTATCACAGCGCAGAATTAAGTATTTTCTAATTACGTAAGTGAAGCCTTTGGTTTAGAGTTTTCTTTTCGGTTTTGTGTTTGTTTTTTTTTTTTTTAAACCAAGTGATAGGGCCAAAAGAAATTGGAAGCGGCACTGATTTGACTGAATACAAGACTAGTGTAATGTCAACCTTGTGCTTACACAGTATCTTTCAGGGGGTAGAAGGCTGGTTTTTTGCAAAGCTTTCCATTGTTCTATTTTTAAAGTTGTTGTTAAGCAAGCATTTCGATGTAGTGTTAGGGAATCGCTGACTTATGTGCTGTTAATATTGGGGTATTAAATTTAAAAGCATAGAGTGCAATTTCTTAAATTGCAGTAGCGAAAACATTATTGGACACCCCAGTTATTCTGAGAGTTCAGGAAGGCTCTTGCAAAAGGAGGAGGGGGAATTAAAGACGTGACTGAAGTGATTTCAAAGGAAACTTGCAGCATCTGAAACAATAGCTCTGCGATGCTGTCCCAGTCCTTTCAGTAGCTTCCAGCACCCTTGCCAATGTTGGTGCTTGAAATGGCCCCAAGTTAACTCTTTTGCCATTCATTAAAACAGGAAAGGAAGAAGAAGAGTTGCCTATTAGGGAAATCTTAAAAAGCCTCAGCAACTCACCAGTCAGTTGGGAGAGAAGAGGCCCCCTGCAGCTGTGCAGTAATTTGACTCGAAACATTTGTAGCAAAATTGCATCTTAATTCTTGAATAGTCTTCAGAAGTTTTTAGGCAAGTGCAGAATCATGACTTTTCAGTGAAGTAGGGGACATGCATGATGAGATACAGTCGAATTTGATTAAAATACCAAAGTAAAACAGGGCTCTAACAACACATAGGAAGTATAAGGGGGAAATAAATGAGGGATCTTGCTCGGTTTTCCTAAAAAGGAATCAGTGTGGAGAAAGCGGGCTTATTCCCAAGTTAGGGAAATACTGCTCTAATTGACGAATAAGTCACAAATAATTGAACAACTTGTTGCCTAAGGCACTGGCTTCAAGAGAGAAATGCAGTAAGCAGATTTAATAGCGCTCTGCCACCTAAAGAAGGAGCATCCCATTCTTCCATCCATTTCTGTCCCCAGTGTGTACTTTGTGCTGCCACGTGCGCTTGTTGGACCCCTCTGCAAGCTGCTTAGTTGAGCTAATGCAGCATAAAATTACCCTGATAGCGGGGAAAAAAAAAAAAAAAAAAAAAAAAAGATTTGGTTTGGTGGTTTTTTAGTGAGTTTGAGACCTAAAGGAGAATCTGTTTTCCAGCTGTGGTGCAAAGAAGAAAAACAGTAACTTCGTGGCTGGAAGGACGAATGAGCTCCTTGCCCCTTCATGGGTGACCAGAAAGGACAAGGTTTGCTGTCAGAAGACCCAGTTCTTGTGCTCCTCTTCAGTCCCCATCCTTGCCATCTGATGTAACTGACTCAGCAGGGTCCTGCTCTGGATAGTCTTTGTCATTTTGCAATTTGGTATTTGGCAACGTAGACTGGCAAAAGAAGGCTTAAATGGGATTTACTTAGCTATTTAATCACAACCTGAGTTTCCACTAAGGCAGGGGGTTGTGTGGAGAGACAGAATCAAAGGGGATTGTACCCGTAAAAAGAGAAAAAAGAGCAAAAAAAAAAAAGGATCTGGTCTTAAGCAAAAGCAGAGATTAAACAGAGTAATGTACAAAAGTATTACAAACTTTCAAAATCTGGTTTCATTTCACTTATATACCACTGTCCAGTTTAGAGAACTACGAGATGCTTTGGTTTCTTTGTACCACTAGGGTTTGGGGCTTTGCTTTTCTTTTCTGAAAGAAAGTTTTCAAAGCTGTATGGGGTGAAGGCATAGAGTGTATTACAGTCATTTGCTAAGTAAATTGTGTGGTCTGTGTTCAAAACACAGTACATGTGCATGCTTGGATAGCTCTATGTGGAAAATCTATAGGAAGAAGATTGTAAACATGTTTGGCCATTTGAAGACTGACTTTGGCCAATCCTGGAATAAGTTACTTGTTCAACAGGCAGACCGTTGCTCTTAGTTTTGCCTTCTCTGGACAGAGGCTGTTGACGTCTCTGTGGAAGGTTTCCTTCTGGAGCAGGCGTTCATGTAGCCTCAAGACAGTAGATCTCTGCCTCTCATTGTCCAGTACTGTCCCTGCTTTTTACCTGCTCTGGTGCTCTGTGGAGCCTTTGTGCCAGTTCAAGCCCCCAAAACTGCAAAGAATGGTGTGGGAAGAGCAATTTGATTGGCAGTAAGAGCAAAGCTTAGTCTTCTCAGGGTGGCAAGGTACATGCGTAGGAGCACGGGAAGAGCAGGTCTTGTCCTCAAACCCATTCACTTCCCCCCCCTGTGGTGCAACTCTAATGACTTGAGGAGTATCTTTTTGATGCATCTGCATCTCACACTGTGCGGATTGCAGATTCTTCAAAAGCCTGGGGTTGCTTGTATCCCTAGTTATTTACCTGTGCAGGCAGCATTTAGCATTTGATCTAGATAATAGTATGCAGTGTAGTCTGAGACTTTTGTGGCACAGAAATCTCTCTCTGGAATAGTTTGGATGACAGCAGATAGCATCCTGGGGCTGTTTTACCAGGGAGATTGTGCATGGTTTAATTTCTCACAAGCATTTCCGTGTAATGTTAGACAGATAACTCTGTCTACATAGAAAAAAAATTTTATGTACCCTAAGACACCATCCTGTCAAAGCACTGCTGGATCACCAAATATATGGCTGATAGCTGCCTGGAGTTTTGATTTTTGAGGAATGTACTGCATAGCTTGGTGAGGAAGTAGACTAGTTTTGTGTCTGGGGAGAGATGCTGATGATGTCTCTTAGCAGAGGGCTTATCTGGCCTCAGCTGGCTTTCACAGGCCCAGGAGGGTCTTGGATTCCTGATTCTTCATTAGCAGCAACCATTCATTTGCATAACTTGTATAATGTTAGAATAAATTCTACGTCCTAATGATGGATAACCTCGAGTAAAGAGAGTGGGAGGAGAGAAAGAAGGGAACTTATGTATGCTAAGCAAGAGGTCTTTTTAAATCAACATCAGGGAATGGCAGGTCAGGCTTGTGATGAGAATTAAGTTCCTAATTCTGAGTGTTTGTGTAATGCCTTTCATCTACAAAACACTTCCACAAATACTAATTAGTATGAATTACAGCTTGGCTGTTATGAAAATAGGGCTGCGAAAATCTGCGCAGATCCCTGATAATACAAAGTTCATAGTGTGTTGGGTTTTTTTCTGTATTCAAGGTTTCCCGTGAGGTTCTTGCCCTCCCTGCCCAAGTGCTTAGTGTTCCATAAATATAAAATGTGAGGTGTACACACAGCCCTAACTGCCCCCGTGTCCAGCATGTTCCCGGTGCGTTGCTTTATCACCGGGGCAGCGATGTTCTGTTCCCACCCTGAGCTCAACAGCAGCTCATCTTCTGGTGGGCTGGGTCTGTGTGCTCACTAAGAGCAGTCTGCTTTGACCTTGCTGTCTTCAGTTCCCATGTTGGTACTTTCTGTTTTAAAAACGTTGAATGGTTAATGCCAACAAGTTAAATCTTTGAGGTGTCCCACTGGTGATGCTACAGCTGAAAAAAAATAGTAAACCTGTCCTCATGTGAGGAGCCTTCTTAAGTGTGACTTGGAAAGACCTACTGGCACGCTCTTCTAGTTCCCAAAAATGTCAAAAATGTGTAAAAACGTTTCCTTTTCAGTCCTTCACCACTTATTTTATTGGTCTTGTTGCATTTTAAGTAAAGCAAAATTCAAAGTTTTAATTGTGAATTCATATATGCAATATACTTTCTAGCTGCTGGTAACAATCTGCTGAAATAATTGAATAGAAATGCTTCAGTATGTGGAACTGGTCTAAGTTGTGAGATTTAAATGCTCTTTATTGTGCTGACATTCAACCTGATGGCTGGCTTGCAGCTGACAGACTGCTTTGGGTCTGTGAAAGCTGCCTACAAAAAGCAAGTTCATATATTCTTTGTGGAAATGGCATATGGAGCTGACTAAAAGGGATCCTCGGTTCCACTGGAAAACTTGTGGGAGTTGACAAGTTGAAAAATTTTGGAAATCTCCACGTAATGATCCAATTATTGCTTAAAATAGCCGTGTGCTCTGGCGCTTCGTATCATTCTCCCTGCACAGGAAGAGGTGGGGGGAAGGGGAATTATAAATACTAAGCATATGAGTAGGAGATGTAGAAGTCTCCTAGTCCTTTGACATAAAAGAACCAAACTCTGCAGCAAGTGCCCCCACGTTCAGTGGCAGCAGAGCTCTTCCTCCTCGTTGGCGCTGCACCACCACGTGCAACTGCAGGTCACAGCTGCAAAGAAGGACTGCAAATCCTCACACCCACGTTGCCAGTAATGGTTTTTTGGAGTAGTTTCTTCATAGTCCCCCAGTCAGGCTGGTTTTGAGGATCTCAGAAGCCACTCCGGTGGTGTGAGGTGGAGGGACTTGAAAGTTCATTGCTGTCCTGCGAGCATTACTATCAGCTCTCTAAGGCTCAGGGAAGTGACACAAGCCCTGTTTAATGCTTGGTCTGTGCCTGTTAGGCTTGCCTTCAACAACAAGGCCAAGGAAAGTAGTTTTTTGAGCCTGCTCCTCTTACAGATGAGGCTGAGAAGTACATGTCTGTTGGGAAGAAGGGAGCTCTGTAGCAAGCTCTGTGGCTGTATGCTGTGGAGAAATAATAATATACCATGTACTACAGAAAACTCTGAGAAGTTGTTTTTCATCTCCAAGATGTTTATGGCCTTACTGTAGTTCCCAGGTATTTCCTTTTTCACCTTTGGTGTTTTGAAAATAATGTTTAAATGAAATGGTAATACATGTGCTGTCCCCACACAATCCTATCAGAAATGAACTTGTCAATGCCAAGCTGATGGAGGAATCTGGGTTTTAGTAAGCAGAAAAAAATGAGAAGAATGAAGCAAGCATTAAGAATGGATGATGATATTTGGAATGTATTTCATGACTTGTTCCCCTCTTTGCTAGTTATGTCTGTCTAGCATTATGTCCATCCTGGATTTTAACACTGTTTTTCCCTGCTTATTTTTAGGGTTGGTCGACGGCCTGTACTGCTCTTCTCTGTCATACTCATTTTGATATTTGGACTGACAGTGGCACTCTCAGTGAATGTGACCATGTTCAGCACACTCAGGTTTTTTGAGGGGTTTTGCCTGGCTGGAATAGTCCTCTCCCTGTACGCACTGCGTGAGTATGCCTTCGTCACCCATCCAAATGTCTCTTTGAGTACTTTGTTTCCTATTCTCTGCCTTCCCGCTTAAATTCAAACAGATCAAACCAGAGTCGTAGGGTCTGAAAGAGTTTTGGCCTGAGTTTTATTAAGGAGGTAGGGATTTTGCAGCTATCTCTTTAGGTTGCTACAGAGCAGTCTGTGAAGCTGTTTGAGAGCTCATTTTAAGAGAGTTGTAAGGTGGTTTGGGTTTGCTTGCTGGTTTTTAAACCTAGAAGTTATCTGTGGCCATAATGTTATATGGGAGTGGATTTCACCTTGTAGCATTGAGCTCAGTAGGACGCTCCCCACTTTTGCTGTCTCTAGCAGTATGTGTTCTGGCACTTCTTCAGAAATTCTTCTGTTACTTGCAGCAAGAGATCCCGATGTCCCTATATCAGGATAGTAAAGTACAGCAAAAACACACAAGAAGAGCCTCAATTCCTTTTATCAATAATTTATTGTTGTTGTTTTTTGTTGTTTTTGTCTGTTTCACTGAAGGAAAAAAAAATAACTGAGAGAAACTTAGGGGAAAGCTTGTAACAAATGTCTGTGTTTCTATCTGGAGTGATTGTAACCTTGTAGCCAAAACTTCTGAAAACTCCTTTCTAAGGTCTTGCCTTTGGAGAGTAGATGATGCCACCAGCCTGTCCCAAGGGGTATCCATTTGTATCCCTTGGTTATGCTCCAGGGAGCTCTGTCTGCTTGTGCTTCCTTGGCTGTTTGTAATTAACACATAGCACCACACTGAGGAAAAATAATTCCCCCTTTTTATTCTGACTCTGGAAAAGTATATCTAACTATATCCTGGAAATTGCTGTACAGATCTTCATAAATTTTTGTTTGCTTTCTGTTGTAGATGGTATCTAACCCATCTGGATTTAGCACAATATCCTTACTGTGCACAGAGGGCTTTGTAGTACAAAGTTCCACAGTATTTGCTTTGATTTTGGTGTGCATCAAGGGGAAATAAGCCTGACTAGAGTATACAAGAGTTTGTTCTATATTGCATTTCTTTGTTATAGCTGATATGGTACCCAAGATACATTATTATTTTTTTCTTCTTGCCTTTGGTCATGTAATCTCTATTGAGAATTTTTTACCAAAAAACAAAACTACCACTGAAGACATTACACTTTTATTGGGAAGTGTTTTAACCTGTATGGTTCCTGTGGGAGGGGACTTCAGCCATTACCAGTATGACATTCAGCTGGAAACTAGACTTGTTGGGATTTTTCACAGCCCAATGCAGCATGTTGGGTTTTTTGGTTGGTACTTTTTGTGTTGGTTTTTGGTTTGTTTTTTGGTTTGTTTTTTGGTTTGTTTTTTGGTTTGTTTTTTGGTTTGTTTTTTGGTTTGTTTTTTGGTTTGTTTTTTGGTTTGTTTTTTGGTTTGTTTTTTGGTTTGTTTTTTGGTTTGTTTTTTGGTTTGTTTTTTTTGTTTACTTTTGAGTCACTTCAACTGAAGACTTTTGTGAGGAAATGCCATCTAAGTAAGAGTTTCATTATAGACCTTCTGTGATCAGGGCGAGAGAATGCACGTGTCACCTTAGATCAGACAGTAGCTTGCCAGCTGAGGCTTTCATTCAGAAAATGGGAGATGCTGATTAGTTTGTTCTGCTTGATCCAGAGCAAGGATTTGAGTCTGATTGATTCCCTCCCCCCCTTAAAATTCAAGTGTTTGTTATAAACACTGTATGTGTCTGTCCATTGCAAATGGGCAGCTGTCTAGATAGACAATGGATGAATAGAGCTCGTAGGTGTTAGGAGAGATCTGAGTGAAATTAGGTGCAACCTGAACATCCCTGCACTTCAATAGAAGTGAGACAGTGTGAAAGATGCAGCACCTGCACCTTGGGCAAATCTTCTGACCTTCTGGCTGGGGTGATGAGGAGAGTGGTATTTTTCTGTATGAAATATTTTCATTTAAACAACAACAAACAAAGTTGTCATCATGGGGAGGATTAATCCCTAAACTCTTAAGAGAATGGGAGGAACAGGGTTTTTTTGCTTGTTTTGTTGTTGTTGCTGGTTTGGATTTTAGTACTCAAACTGTTAGGCTTCCTCTCAATTTAGATTTACTATCTTTCCCTTTCTGCTACAGTCTGTAGCATGCCATTGCTCTGCTTTGTGGAGTCATCTTCTGTTTCATAGCCCCTCTTCCCTTTCTCTAAATGGCCTTGATTTCTTCCCCTGGAGGTTTGTTGCCCCTGAATTCCCGGCTGGCTGCCCTGAGCAGAAAAATAGAAAGTGGAAAGTTTGATCTGCTAGACACAGTCATTAGCCAAAGTTTTCAAAGCACTGTGCGGAAGCAAAGTGTATAGGCTTGCACAGCCTGCAAAGGTAATTAGCTTGCCACCGGGATCCTTTTACACTGTGTTGAGCTTGCTAGTTGTGCTGGGATTTATGGCCCCTGCCTAAGGGAAATTGTAAATAACAGTCCTGGATGCTATGGGAGTGGGAAGAGCAGCGAAGTGCTGTCTCTGAAAACACAGAGCTGCCAAGGTTGAGCTGCCCTCACCATTCGAACCACACTCTTTTTAATAGCCTAATGCTGTTTTCCTGCCTGTCAGCCCCAAGGGGCAGAGTGAGCCCTGGGACAAGCCTCACCTTCTGTGGAGGGACAGCTCTGAGCCCCAACCACCCGTGCTCCTCTGCGGGCTTTCCTCTGTGTTGCGGTGAACTAGCATCTTGTGGCCTCCAAGTAGAGCCTCTTGCCTGGAGATGCTTGGGGCTTGTCTAAAGAAACCACTTTTGGATGTTGATATGTTAAACTGAAAAGCTTTCCTTCAGCTGCTGTAGTTCTGTTGGAAAAAGTGTTTTGGGTGAAATTTCTCAGGAACCTGCAGGAAGAGAGAGGCTTGGTGCAGGGGATGGTGTTTGCTGCAGAGAAGAGAACCTGGGGCTTTCTCCTCCTGGGTGCTGCAGGTCATTGCTCATCTAGGAGAGTGAATGAAAGGCAGTTAATCCTCATCTGCTGAACAAACACAGCTTTGAAAGGGTTTTTTTTCATGCTGATGTGGAGGTAAGGGAGCTTCTACCGTCTTCCAGAAACAGTTTCCCACCCTGTACCCAACATTCAATGGGTTCCTGTGCTCCTGAACAGCTGGCACACCTCTTGTGTGGTGAGGCACCAGCAAGGTCCTCAGGAAGCTCTCTCCCCATGAGGTTTCCTGATATGCCACGCTCAGCAGTCATCTGATGCACAGAGCTGGAGCTGTTTGCTGTGATATGCTTGTTAGGTTCCCTGTTACGTTTGCTGAGCAGATTTCTGCGAAAATGGGCTGCCCCTTGTTGGAGGAGAGTGCTGAGACTGGAGGCAAAAATTTCACGGAGAGAGAAACGGTGGAGGGGTGCTAAGAAGCACTCTGACTACAGTGGTTGGAAGGGGATGTATGGCCTGCCCAGCAGTTAAATGTAGAAAAGAGCATAGACTGGGGGACTGGAGGAGGGCAGATTGTTTAAGAGGAGGCATGGGGAAAGGTATTTTTTTCCCCAGAGTGTCTTTTCTCGCAGTATTTGTTGCTGCATGCACATCCAGGGGTGAAGGATGGGTGGATGTCCTGCACCTGCTGGCTCGGCACGCTTGGATGCACGGCGCTGTACCCTGCTGCCCAGCTGAGGACAAGGAGGTTTGAGTTTACTGATTGGGGTGGAAGGTCCTGTGGTCAGTCCTGTGAGGAGTTTGCTTTGGCCAAGAGAAGGGGAATAGGTGTGGGAGCCCTGAGCAGGGACACGTGTACCTGGATAATGTCTGTGGACTCCTGCAGCAGGCAAGGTGAGCCACTCTTGCTGCAAATAGTTCTGCTTGCTGGTAACTCATGTGGGACAAAGTGCACTTGGCAAATGTGGAAGTCACGGGAGAAAGCAAATCTGATTATCTGGAGGGTGGGGAGAGCGTTGCTTCTGGGTCACTTTAGTCTTGCTGGGGCACTGCATCGTCCATGACCCTGGGGTAGCCTTCTCTTTGTGTGCTCGTGCAGGAGGCCAGATGCAACAGCTGACCCAATGTGGGTCCCTTCCTCAGGGCTCACTTCCACGAGCTGGTGTGAGCTGATGCAAGAGCTCTCATGGCTGAGGGCAAGAGTTCCTTCTCCCTGTGCTCCTCCTCTCTTCTCACATGCTGCCCCAGCTGTGCTGGTGCCAGTGTCTACCTGAACTCTCTGTGGAGGAAGCCATCTGCCTTCCCTTTGGAGAAGACCGAGTGTGCTTCTGTCAGTGGGATGTGCCCTCTGGTCTTGTCTCCTCCTCTGGGAGATCTGCTGGGCGTCGTGTCCCTTGTGCAGCCCGAGCCTGGGGGATAGAGCAGGAACATGGCCCCATATCGTGCAGGGCCAGTAAAATGGGTAAAAACAAGCAAGGATTCCCTTCCAGCCGATCGCTTCATATGCCCTATCTGTCTCCTCCCTGGTGTTTCCTGCTTTTGTCACTTTCTGGAGTCGAAGCTAGGATGATGATATTAATTAAACTATTTAAGGGGCTGGAGAAATGGGGGGGGAAGTCATATTTTTCTGGCAAATGCTCCTGGCAGGTTTAACGAGCCTCCTGTTTAAGTGCTGTGTGCTGCTGCTAATGACTGTACCTGAGCTCAGACAGCACAAGCCATGGTGCGGATTTGCACACAATTGCAGGCTGTTCAACAGTTTCATGGGTGACTGAGCTACAGATTACGCTGCAAAATTAGAAAGTCTAGACTTGAATGAACCAGTAAATAGGCTCTGCTGAAAGGGAGCTTTGCTGAAAGGGAGACATCATCTTCTCAGGCTGGAGCGAGGAAGCAGTGGTGCCCCTCCGATGTGTAGTAGCAGGTTGAGCAGGCACATTGTTTTCTTTTATGCTGTTAGGAGAAAAAAGGTAGAAATGCTGTTGAAAATCATAGGTTGTATTTCAAAAGCCTGGAGAAGCTTGGCAAAGGCTTCCAGACTGGTTAAGATGTCCAGCTGTGATGTATCTTTCTCATAGGTCAATCTAACCTGCTA